ACACAGGCAATGTTTAACTGCAACAATGTGGTGTGATAGACACAGTCTATACTTCACTGTAACAACTGTGACAATGTGCTGCAACACAGGCAATGTTTAACTGCAACAATGTGGTGTGATAGACACAGTCTATACTTCACTGTAACAACTGTGACAATGTGCTGCAACACAATGTTTAACTGCAACAATATGTACTGATAGACATAGTTGCATCTTGCAACAAAGCAAAGATTTTCAGGACAATGAATCTTATCCTTAAGTCAATAAAATTACTGGAAGCTACAGACTAGAAAAAAAAAGCAGAGCACAGCAAGATAATACTAATCCTAAAGACCGCTAAAAGAAGAACAACAATCCAGAGAATTTTCACCTTTCAGTTACTCTAGCAGTCGACGACAATGTCTGCCATTAGCAATAATGACAATGTCCACAGATATCAGTTATCATTTTCATTCAAACATTATGGTTTATATGAATTAAAAAATGACAAGTTTTTTCCACTAGTCAACTGGCAAGTCATTCTATCATAAAAATGTCTTATTACAACAGGACACAGTGTGTCAGCTGGAAAATCACTTTATCATAAATATTACTGATTAAAATGCTTTCAATGTGTCTCAGATAGAAAGCCACTTTATCATAAATATTACTGATAACAATGCTTTCAATGTGTCTCAGATAGCAAGCCACTTTATCATAAATATTACTGATTACAATGCCTTCAATGTCTCTCAGATAGCAAGCCACTTTATCATAAATATTACTGGTTAAAATGCTTTCAATGTGTCTCAGATAGCAAGCCACTTTATCATAAATATTACTGATAACAATGCTTTCAATGTGTCTCAGATAGCAAGCCACTTTATCATAAATATTACTGATTACAACGCCTTCAATGTCTCTCAGATAGCAAGCCACTTTATCATAAATATTACTGATTACAATGCCTTCAATGTGTCTCAGATAGCAAGCCACTTTATCATACATATTACTTATTACAATGCCTTCAGTCTGTCTCAGATAGCAAGCCACTTTATCATAAATATTACTGATTACAATGCCTTTAATGTGTCTCAGATAGCAAGCCACTTTATCATACATATTACTTATTACAATGCCTTCAATGTGTCTCAGATAGCAAGCCATTTTATCATAAATATTACTGATTACAATGCCTTCTATGTGTCTCAGAGAGCAAGCCACTTTATCATAAATATTACTGATTACAATGCCTTCAATGTGTCTCAAATAGCAAGCCACTTTATCATAAATATTACTGATTAAAATGCTTTCAATGTGTCTCAGATAGAAAGCCACTTTATCATAAATATTACTGATAACAATGCTTTCAATGTGTCTCAGATAGCAAGCCACTTTATCATAAATATTACTGATTACAATGCCTTCAATGTCTCTCAGATAGCAAGCCACTTTATCATAAATATTACTGGTTAAAATGCTTTCAATGTGTCTCAGATAGCAAGCCACTTTATCATAAATATTACTGATAACAATGCTTTTAATGTGTCTCAGATAGCAAGCCACTTTATCATAAATATTACTGATTACAACGCCTTCAATGTCTCTCAGATAGCAAGCCACTTTATCATAAATATTACTGATTACAATGCCTTCAATGTGTCTCAGATAGCAAGCCACTTTATCATACATATTACTTATTACAATGCCTTCAGTCTGTCTCAGATAGCAAGCCACTTTATCATAAATATTACTGATTACAATGCCTTTAATGTGTCTCAGATAGCAAGCCACTTTATCATACATATTACTTATTACAATGCCTTCAATGTGTCTCAGATAGCAAGCCATTTTATCATAAATATTACTGATTACAATGCCTTCTATGTGTCTCAGAGAGCAAGCCACTTTATCATAAATATTACTGATTACAATGCCTTCAATGTGTCTCAAATAGCAAGCCACTTTATCATAAATATTACTGATTACAACGCCTTCAATGTGTCTCAGATAGCAAGCCACTTGATCATACAAATGACTTATTACAAAACCTTCAATGTGTCTCAGATAGCAATCCACTTGATCATACATATGACCGATTACAAAACCATCAATGTGTCTCAGATAGCAATCCACTTGATCATACATATGACCGATTACAAAACCTTCAATGTGTCTCAGATAGCAAGCCACTTGATCATACAAATGACTTATTACAAAACCTTCAATGTGTCTCAGATAGCAAGCAACTTTATCATACAAATGACTTATTACAAAACCTTCAATGTGTCTCAGATAGCAATTCACTTGATCATACATATGACCGATTACAAAACCTTCAATGTGTCTCAGATAGCAAGCCACCCTATCATTCAAATGACTTATTACAAAACCTTCAATGTGTCTCAGATAGCAATTCACTTGATCATACATATGACTGATTACAAAACCTTCAATGTGTCTCAGATAGCAAGCCACTTTATCATTCAAATGACTTATTACAAAACCTTCAATGTGTCTCAGATAGCAATCCACTTGATCATACATATGACTGATTACAAAACCTTCAATGTGAGGTAGATTCACTGCATAGTAGTGATGTGAAAGTTACTCATGAACAGACTAAAAACTGTGAAGCTTCCTCCTCTGTGGATAGTGAGTGTTTGATGAGAGCAGGAAATAACCCAAAAAATGTTTCTTAGTTTTGTTTGATCCACAAATTATGTTTATACACATGTGTCCTATGACAACAGACATGTTGCTTAGTGTGAATGATTCAATGTCCACCAAGCATGGATACTGTCTTAAACAGCAGCAGGTAACGTCATCTACGAAGCAGAAACCTGCTGGACAACTGCACTGACAATCTTGTCCAACGAAGCTATTACAGCTGTCACCAAATAAACGTTATCCACCAAAAGAACCTCATCTTCAATATATGCATCTTATCCTAATCAAAAACCCCTCATCTTCCCCAAATAAACCTTATCCACCAAATAAACCTCAGTGTCAATACATGCGTTTTATCCTAACCATAGTGATATAAGACTTCCCCAGATAAACTTCCCCAAATAAACCTTATCCACCAAATAAACCTCAGTGTCAATACATGCGTTTTATCCTAACCATAGTGACATAAGACTTCCCCAGATAAACTTCCCCAGATAAACTTCCTCAAATAAACCTTATCGACCAAAAGAACCTCAGTGTCAAAACATACATCTTATCCTATCCAAAATTCACCACAACTTCCCCAAATGACCCTTATCTTCAAAACATGCATCTTATCTAACCAAATACACCTCATCACCAAATGTAACATCCAGCGAAAAGTTCCAGTTGTTCATCCACTTCTGGACTCTGATCTTGTTCTATAACCTGAGTTTAGTGTGCATATCTGTTTTACAGGTCCGGCTTACTTGTATGCAGACAGCTGGTTCCTCACTTACCAGGCATTTGCACTCCAAATTCAAAGGAAACACCCCTTGTTAGACACCTTTTACTTCTTGGCTTATCTGGAGGTGGCTAGATTTTTGTCACCCAAAAGTGTGGTTGAGGAACCCACGTGTGAAAACCAAATACACTTCATTTAACCAAATAAACCTTTCTTTCACTAAAACAACTTATCACTTCATTTAACCAAATAAACCTTTCTTTCACTAAAACAACTTATCACTTCATTTAACCAAATAAACCTTTCTTTCACTAAAACAACTTATCACTTCATTTAACCAAATAAACCTTTCTTTCACTAAAACAACTTATCACTTCATTTAACCAAATAAACCTTTCTTTCACTAAAACAACTTATCACTTCATTTAACCAAATAAACCTTTCTTTCACTAAAACAACTTATCACTTCATTTAACCAAATAAACCTTTCTTTCACTAAAACAACTTATCACTTCATTTAACCAAATAAACCTTTCTTTCACTAAAACAACTTATCCCTTCATTTAACCAAATAAACCTTTCTTTCACTAAAACAACTTATCCCTTCATTTAACCAAATAAACCTTTCTTTCACTAAAACAACTTATCACTTCATTTAACCAAATAAACCTTTCTTTCACTAAAACAACTTATCACTTCATTTAACCAAATAAACCTTTCTTTCACTAAAACAACTTATCCCTTCATTTAACCAAATAAACCTTTCTTTCACTAAAACAACTTATCACTTCATTTAACCAAATAAACCTTTCTTTCACTAAAACAACTTATCACTTCATTTAACCAAATAAACCTTTCTTTCATTAAAACAACTTTTCATTATCAAAATTAAAATTATCTTTGCTAAATCAGATGATCTTAACTACAAGAACCCTATCTGACTATAAATTTAACATTCGATAAAGCCTAGTTTGTGATTAATGTCATCAGATAGATAAAACAATAAAGTTAACATTGATAAAGCCTAGTTTGTGATTCAAGTCGCCAGAGAGATAAAACTATAAAGTTAACATTGGATAAAGCCTAGTTAGTGATTCAAGTCGCCAGAGAGATAAAACTATAAAGTTAACATTGGATAAAGCCTAGTTAGTGATTCAAGTCGCCAGAGAGATAAAACTATAAAGTTAACATTGGATAAAGCCTAGTTAGTGATTCAAGTCACCAGAGAGATAAAACTATAAAGTTAACATTGGATAAAGCCTAGTTAGTGATTCAAGTCGCCAGAGAGATAAAACTATAAAGTTAACATTGGATAAAGCCTAGTTAGTGATTCAAGTCGCCAGAGAGATAAAACTATATAGTTAACATTGGATAAAGCCTAGTTAGTGATTCAAGTCGCCAGAGAGATAAAACTATAAAGTTAACATTGGATAAAGCCTAGTTAGTGATTCAAGTCGCCAGAGAGATAAAACTATAAAGTTAACATTGGATAAAGCCTAGTTAGTGATTCAAGTCACCAGAGAGATAAAACAACTGCTCTGTGTTTACCAGGTACTCAGCAGTCATACACTCAGGGGCACCACAAGCCTAGAATAACACATCACTTGTCTACTGTACATATTTTAAGTTAACCCGTCAAAGGTCGCAGGTCAACCCGAACCTTCTCGTTGCAGCTGAGCATCCCAATAGTTGGGTAGAAGCCTCCTTTTGGCACACACACTTCTTTATGTCCAACAACTTTTCCATTTCTAGTGAAGAATACCTAGCAAACAGAGGAAATTATATTATGACAATGACAACTAGGTTATTTGTGTTCACATTTATTCTGCTGCATTTCAAGAGGAAATAACACACACATACATACACAATATGCCAACATGATTGCAATTGTGTGCATTGAAAATAATCATGTCACAGTTATAGGTCATAGGTCATGACCAATGAATAAAACAGCATGTGCTCATCATTCCCTGACGCATGAGGTCTGTTTCTGACTAATGTGAAAATGGCAGGGTTGATCCACACAGAAGCTATAAGAGTGGTGATTCAGTTTCTTTCATTTTAAGGGTGTCAACAAATAGACATTCATCACAAAATATGATAACAAATGTGTGTTCAAATGTTCTGAAAGGATGTGAATTCACTGCTCATCTTTTAGGACAGGATCAAGTTCAAATTGTTGCAACAACAACAAAAACATCGCCAAAACTAATTAAGCAATAAAAGTGAACGGTTGTCGAAGCATATGTTCACTTTCAAAAGGATCTGATGTTTCAAATGTGACAGTTCAAACGGTTGTTCAAGAGAAACTGCAATCTCAGAAACTTCATTTTCAGCATTCCGAGTCCTCGGTTCATTACTGCAGATATCATCTGCCTCCACTCATCTCTCTGATTGGCCTTCTTCAGCATTCTGAGCCCTTGAGGTTCATTACTGCAGATATCATCTGCCTCCACTCATCTCTCTGATTGGCCTTCTTCAGCATTCTGAGCCCTTGAGGTTCATTACTGCAGATATCACTCGCCTCCATTTATCTCTCTGATTGGCCTTCTTCAGCATTCTGAGCCCTTGAGGTTCATTACTGCAGATATCACTCGCCTCCATTCATCTCTCTGATAGGCCTTCTTCAGCATTCTGAGCCCTTGAGGTTCATTACTGCAGATATCACTCGCCTCCATTCATCTCTCTGATTGGCTTTCTTCAGCGTTCCGAGATCCTGAGGTTCATTACTGCAGATATCACTCGCCTCCATTCATCTCTCTGGATGGCCTTCTCTTTCCATTGGTGACACCAAATGTTTGTTGGTCTGTCTGGATATTATCGCTTCATAATCTTCTTGGTCTGCCTCGTGGTCTACGATCATTTATCTCTCTTGTGTATACAGTTTCTACCTCACTGTCATCTGGCATTCTCTCAGTATGCCCTAGCCATTTTAGTCTATTTGATCTCATGATGCCAGTAATAAACGGTGATTTAAACGATGGTCTTATCAATGTTTACATTTTGATGTTGGTGTTGCGAGACAGAGACTTTGAATTTAGCAGATGTTGAAGGGCTGAGTATATATCATTTCTAGATTGTATTCTAGATTGTATTTCTTCTCTCAGCATGTTGGAGCAGTCGAAGTTTGCACCCAAGTACTTATATGTTTCTGTTCACTTTAATTTTCACAATACTGACTTGTATGTGGCTGGAATTTATATCCTGTCCCTCTCTTGTTATTATCACGTATTCTGTCTTTTACTGATTGATAACTAGAGCTGCTTCCTTAAGAGAGCCAAGGTTTTTACCTCTCTTGTTCATTTTCTCCACTGATATCAATGTCATCTGCATAACCAAGTTTTCTTAATCTGGGATAGCTTTGTTCAATTCTGCCACATCTGCTGATGTTTTTTTCAAGCTTTTGCAATGAGGCCATTTACCAAACTCAAATGAATTCTTCTTTTATGTTTGCATGTATAATGCATGGATGGATGGACGGCCATGTTAGTGTGTAGTTCCTTTGGTTTTTGTAATATTTGTGTGTGTGTGTATGTGCGTGTGTGTGTGTGAAATGTTTCGTGTTAGTGTTAACGGATGTGAGAAAGACAATTATTAATGGCTAGACAGATCATACTATGGACAGTCCTGACTAATGAAAAATGAAACAGAAGCTGCAGAAATGTGACCTGTGACCTGAAGAATGAAGAGAACACCACGGACACCAAGGCTGAAATAATGTAATGAAGATGACAGAAACTGACCCATGACAAGAACCGATTACCCACATCAACAGATGATAGTCTAGTGTTTGAGTACATGTTATGGGAACGGAACAACTGAAGTATGCTTTGACAACAGAAAAGCTGCAGAGGAAAGAGGCACGGAGAGACCATGAAAAAAGATATCTAATAGTTTGGTATCATGGCATGAAAGATCATCTGTGTTTGAAATGACTGACAGTACATAAGACAGACGATCATGATTACTAGTGCCACAAGGCACAACTACAATAAACTAGTGCCACAAGACACAACTACAATAAACTAGTGCCACAAGACACAACTACAATAAACTAGTGCCACAAGACACAACTACAATAAACTAGTGCCACAAGACACAACTACAATAAACTAGTGCCACAAGACACAACTACAATAAACTAGTGCCACAAGACACAACTACAATAAACTAGTGCCACAAGACACAACTACAATAAACTAGTGCCACAAGACACAACTACAATAAACTAGTGCCATAAGACACAACTACAATAAACTAGTGCCACAAGACACAACTACAATAAACTAGTGCCATAAGACACAACTACAATAAACTAGTGCCACAAGACACAACTACAATAAACTAGTGCCACAAGACACAACTACAATAAACTAGTGCCACAAGACACAACTACAATAAACTAATGCCACAAGACACAACTACAATAAACTAGTGCCACAAGACACAACTACAATAAACTAGTGCCATAAGACACAACTACAATAAACTAGTGCCACAAGACACAACTACAATAAACTAGTACCATAAGACACAACTACAATAAACTAGTGCCACAAGACACAACTACAATAAACTAATGCCATAAGACACAACTACAATAAACTAGTGCCACAAGACACAACTACAATAAACTAGTGCCACAAGACACAACTACAATAAACTAGTGCCACAAGACACAACTACAATAAACTAATGCCACAAGACACAACTACAATAAACTAGTGCCACAAGACACAACTACAATAAACTAGTGCCACAAGACACAACTACAATAAACTAGTGCCACAAGACACAACTACAATAAACTAATGCCATAAGACACAACTACAATAAACTAGTGCCACAAGACACAACTACAATAAACTAGTGCCACAAGACACAACTACAATAAACTAGTGCCACAAGACACAACTACAATAAACTAATGCCACAAGACACAACTACAATAAACTAATGCCATAAGACACAACTACAATAAACTAGTGCCATAAGACACAACTACAATAAACTAGTGCCACAAGACACAACTACAATAAACTAGTGCCACAAGACACAACTACAATAAACTAATGCCACAAGACACAACTACAATAAACTAGTGCCACAAGACACAACTACAATAAACTAGTGCCACAAGACACAACTACAATAAACTAGTGCCACAAGACACAACTACAATAAACTAATGCCACAAGACACAACTACAATAAACTAGTGCCACAAGACACAACTACAATAAACTAGTGCCACAAGACACAACTACAATAAACTAGTGCCACAAGACACAACTACAATAAACTAATGCCACAAGACACAACTACAATAAACTAATGCCATAAGACACAACTACAATAAACTAGTGCCATAAGACACAACTACAATAAACTAGTGCCACAAGACACAACTACAATAAACTAGTGCCACAAGACACAACTACAATAAACTAGTGCCACAAGACACAACTACAATAAACTAGTGCCACAAGACACAACTACAATAAACTAGTGCCACAAGACACAACTACAATAAACTAGTGCCACAAGACACAACTACAATAAACTAGTGCCACAAGACACAACTACAATAAACTAGTGCCACAAGACACAACTACAATAAACTAGTGCCACAAGACACAACTACAATAAACTAGTGCCACAAGACACAACTACAATAAACTAATGCCACAAGACACAACTACAATAAACTAGTGCCACAAGACACAACTACAATAAACTAGTGCCACAAGACACAACTACAATAAACTAGTGCCACAAGACACAACTACAATAAACTAATGCCACAAGACACAACTACAATAAACTAATGCCATAAGACACAACTACAATAAACTAGTGCCATAAGACACAACTACAATAAACTAGTGCCACAAGACACAACTACAATAAACTAGTGCCACAAGACACAACTACAATAAACTAGTGCCACAAGACACAACTACAATAAACTAGTGCCACAAGACACAACTACAATAAACTAGTGCCACAAGACACAACTACAATAAACTAGTGCCACAAGACACAACTACAATAAACTAGTGCCACAAGACACAACTACAATAAACTAGTGCCACAAGACACAACTACAATAAACTAGTGCCACAAGACACAACTACAATAAACTAATGCCACAAGACACAACTACAATAAACTAGTGCCACAAGACACAACTACAATAAAACTAGTGCCACAAGACACAACTACAATTAACTAGTGCCACAAGACACAACTACAATAAACTAATGCCACAAGACACAACTACAATAAACTAATGCCATAAGACACAACTACAATAAACTAGTGCCACAAGACACAACTACAATAAACTAGTGCCACAAGACACAACTACAATAAACTAGTGCCACAAGACACAACTACAATAAACTAGTGCCACAAGACACAACTACAATAAACTAGTGCCACAAGACACAACTACAATAAACTAGTGCCACAAGACACAACTACAATAAACTAGTGCCACAAGACACAACTACAATAAACTAGTGCCACAAGACACAACTACAATAAACTAGTGCCACAAGACACAACTACAATAAGAAACCGAAATATTGTGACTAAACATTTTGACTGATCATTAAACAGAACCAAAACACTTCACAATAAAACAACCAAACATACTGTCAACAACTAAAAACATCAGATTAGGTTTTCTCTTATGGTTCTCAGGTTTTTCAGTTATGCTGTTTTTTCTGTATTGAATTTTCCAGGTTTTTCAAGAAAAGATTGTTCTATTCTCAAGGATCCCTTCTAGCCCTGCTCATAAAAACAACATGAGCACTGCTACAACCAAGACTTACTGTGACTTTAGTTCCTTTTCCTTTGTGATGATGTCTTTTAGGTGGCCTGAACAACATATCATCTTCATCATCAGAGCCTCCAATTCCCAGCAGTTCATCTAACTGGCCTTCTTCATCATCATTTTCGTTGTCCTCTTCCTCCTCCTCTCCTTTAGCATCATCCTCTTCATCATTAAGCTGAGCCTCTGATTCACTGTCGTAATCTTGAGGGAAGTATATGCCACAGCCCATGATATCACCTGTTAAAGATAACAAGAGACTGTATATAAATCAGCATTGCTGTCTCTGTACCACACTTTCTCCTTCTCAAAGGCAAGATCCACTTCAGCACACTAGGTTTTTATCATATATGGCTCAGTCTTTCTCCAGAGAGCAGTTATCTGCCCAACCAGTCACAAAAAGGGTGAAACACCTGGAGCAACAATTCCCTAAAGCTCTGAAACCCACTCACGGGTCAATGGATGGGATCTGAAATCAAAAACCCAATGTTGAGAACATGACGTATGGAGACCTTTCTATATGTTTACTACATAAAACCAGCTTCCTCAATGAACCTGAAGTGAAAACCCCTCCAGCATATTTATTACATACATACAGTATGTGTGTATGCCAATTTCTCCTTCAGGCAAACATCGAGAAGACAAGATTGTTTACTGAAAGCTGAAGACACACACTGGCATGTACCAGCTGGCCATCATTCAGCCAAACCATGCATTCAACAGAGATGAAAGAGGTCACTTACTTACAATCTGATTGGTTGAACCAGGCTCTGATATTTAGACTAAACCAAGGTTGTGCTTCACATACAAAACCTGGTTCATCAAACAGATGGTGCAGCTGTGGTTTGTGTTCGAGATGAGTTAACAGCTCACTTCGTAGCACACAGGGCACATTCCCATACTCGCTCTGATCCCATCTTCAGTACCAAAACCAGTGCGAGTTGCAGATTGTCTTGCCTGAACCCGTTCGCCGAAAGAAAGCCTTCTGGCTTTTATGGGTTTGAGTTGAAATGTCTTTGGACGACATACCTGGATGACAGCTCTGGTCCTGGCTACAACTGCTTAGTGTGTAGACATGGTGGGTATGATTATACTAAACACAAACAAACTAATACAATAAAATAAAAAATAAATTTTTTTTTTTAGATATCTGGGGTCCAAAAAAAAAGTAGATTTTCAAGCATTATAGATTCACTGTGACGTCATATAATTTCATGATTATGTCACATTGAGCCCTGTTGCAAAGTGACCAAAAACTATTTTTAGATGGCCACAGGTGATCTGGCATTATCAAAGAAGCAGAGTGGGCTAGGGTTTAACCACCTGGATATTTGCAAAAACTTACCAAGACTCCAAACTTGTCTGCCCTTTTTTCCTTCTAGTTTCTTAGGGTTGGGTTCCACAGATTTATAAATTTTTTTTTGTTTGTTCAAGATTCTAATGGGGCCAAAGGATTGACTCTGAGCATGAAGTGGCTACCAGAACCAGATCACCTGACCTCCCTATTTGCATCTCTTCTTATTTTTTTCTGGGTTCACTGGCTGTAAAGTCTGGCAGAAAGTTCTGGTTGTTTGTAGACTTCTGGACATTTTAAACTTGTTCCAGAACTTAATTCTGCATGCACATCCATTTGACAGATCTGGCTTATTTGTATGCAGACTGTTTGTTCCTGGCTTCTCAGGCAGATACACTCCAGACTTTGAAGGAGACAAGCTCATTAGCCAGCTGTGACAACATGCCTGTTTCTTCATAGACTAGTTGACTCTTCTGCACTGCTCTCATGCTTCTAAAGGATATTCACCAATGCTACTTGTTCATGCATTAATTCATCACTGGTGCACAACCACTCAATCTGTATGCGTGTTCATCTCCCAACACACTGGCATGGCCTGAAGAAACAATCTTAAGAGTATTCTTTTGCCAGAGAGAGCAGAAGGTAAAGAGAAATACCATGTTTCCCCTAAAAATGTACCAAAGTTGCACAGAAGGCACACACACAAATGTGCCTAAGTTTTTAAGAAGGCACACCCACAAATGTGCCAAAGTTGCACAGAAGACACACACACAAATGTGCCAAAGTTGCACAGAAGGCACACACACAAATGTGCCAAAGTAGCACAGAAGGCACACACACAAATGTGCCAAAGTTGCACAGAAGGCACACACACAAATGTGCCAAAGTTGCACAGAAGGCACACAAATTTTAGAATGGCATACTAACTAAACTTGATTTTATTCTTACCCTTTGAACATTTGGGCCCAAAACGCACACCCATCCCTGAGCCATGGAATAGTTTCCCATCATCTGTGTAAAATAACATGTCAAAAATGTGACTTTCAATGACATCTTTTGTCAAAAACATATCTGCAACTTTTTAATTCATTAGATTACTTTGATGTGAACAAATCACTGTCTAATGATATTTCTCATTATTTGTTTCAGACCACACAAACACTATTAGTGTCAGAAAAGAAGCAAATCTTTTGCAACAAAAGTGGGAAGACAAATGTGTTAGATAGAAATGTTGTGAAGAGATCCAAAAAAACATAAAAGACATGTTTACATGATCTATACTTTATTAAAGGAATCAATCAATGAGGAACTAACATCAATGCACTCAGAATCGCCAGGTTCCAGGCTCCCACTGTGGCAGAAGAAGAAGAATAGAATCACCACTCCTTAACAAGGATGTCATACAAGACTAATAATTAGATTAGGGCTTTCCCTCCAAATCAGAGTGCATATGCCTGAGAGGCGAGAAACCAACAGTCTACATACAAATATGCCAAATCTGTAAAAATGGATGTGCAAACAAAACTCAAGATAAAAATCCAGAAGTGGACAAACAACCACAGTTTAGAACTGGTGATCCTACAGAAGAAGACTGCAACCAGGACATCCCTACACGTGCTCTGTCCCCCCCCCCCCCCCCCCCTTCCCGCTGGGTAGCTAATGAACAGTTCCCATACTGATAGTGTCCGCTACCTGTCTTATCCCCTGCAAGCTGAAAACTGGCCAGAACCTAGGACCCATCCCTGCTGAATCAGTCTCTCCAGATACAGACACTTGTTCTGTTCTGTACTGGCCATCTGACTCTAGACAGTCTTCACCATGTCTTCCCTGAAAAACACTCTCCAGATACAGACACTTGTTCTGTTCTGTTCTGTACTGGCCATCTGACTCTAGACAGTCTTCACCATGTCTTCACTGAAAAACACTCTCCAGATACAGACACTTGTTCTGTTCTGTACTGACCATTTGACTCTAGACAACCTTCACCATGTCTTCCTTGAAAAACACTCTCAAAAGACAGAATCATGTTTGTAGTTTTGTTTCAGTCTATAAACTCTTGTACCTCTGCTACAATTTTTTTTACAATCTCCCCATACGTCTGATTTATTAATTTCCATGCTTCATTCTATGTTAACGTAACTCTGTAGTAACGCACCTGATGAGATACAGCGAAATATGCCTGGCAATAAATTTTGCAATGCATTGTTTACGTCCGCATTACTTAAATCTCCCCATATGCTAATATCTGAAACGGTAACACCGACTGCTTCCAACAATGTTCATATCAAATAAAATGTTAAACTTTTAACGAGCTCTAGGAGGTGATGTATGATTTATGTTACAGGCGTGAATTCTATGTCTGCATAAGTAATATCCATCACAGGCGTGAGAGAAAGTTAAGGCCTTATCGATATGTATAAGCTGGGATACCAGTGAAGTGTATATAATGGGTTTTTACTATAACACACAGATAAAACTGGTTATCACCCAAAAATAACAATAAATGATGAAGAAATTCAAAATGTCACAAACTTTGAATATCTAGGCTCTATAATAAACAACGATGGAGACTGTTCAACAGAAATTAAAAGGACGATGGCCATAGCAATGCAAAGATTGAACAGCCTTAAAAGTCTATGGTTAAGCACCGGCAAAAAGATAAAAATTTGAATTTTGAGAGCATGCATCTTCCCTGTGGCTACATACGGATGTAAATCGTGGACTATCTCTCAGTCCTTAAGAAAGAGAATAGGGGCTTTTGAGCTGAAATGCTTTAGAAATATTCTCATAATATCTTGGACAAAGAAGAGGAGAAATATCGACATCTTAAAAGATCTGAACATCAAGGAAGATTGGCTAATAAACAGCATCCTTTCTCGGAAGCTGAAATATTTTGGTCATATCAAGTGCCACAACGGACTGAAAAAAATTATAGCAGAAGGCATGGTACCAGGAAGGAGGGGCAGGGGCCGACCGACACGAATATGGGCACAGGATATAAATGACTCCCTGAGTATGAAAGTACATGAGGCAGGAGAACTGGAGAGAGAACGAGTTTCTTTCAGGCAGACTGTGATGAGAGCGACATTCTGCAAAGGACCTGCTTCATGATGATGATGACTTATTTCACAGCTGGACAAACATTAAAATATCCAATCCAACGATACCTCAAAGAAACCTGCAAGTCAATTCTAAGCGGAGATATCAATATTTTGTGGCGGATGCCACCACAGATGAATTATAGTTTAATCTGACAAAAGATGTATAATGAGCTACATCCTAGTAAAAAGAAGGGCTGAAATTACTAAATGTTTGCATTTTATGGCAATATCTATTTTGTTTCTTAACGAATCCTTTAGCAACTACATACCATTGCAATTGGGGCAGTGAGGCCTATTTGTTTATGCATAACTCAAACACACACGACAAAATATGGGAATAATTAACAAATAAAAAAGGCTGCCAGCTCACTAGTTTTAAGTAAGCACATTATAAGGTAACGATTAAAAGAGGTTTGAAGTTAAAAAAAAAAATATCCACTTCATTGGACTTGGTTTTACCCCATACGGCTTGACCTGTCTCCACAATGGTTAGGCACCTCTTGAAAACGATGTACAACCTCCATAGCTCTAGCAATTATCCCTAAAATAGCCTACAACTTTCAGACCTTGAGGCAAATGACTTGACAACTTTGCTACTGTGTATTCTGCTTTTACAGTATAGATTTTAACTTGACTATAAATAATAACGAACTGTGTAAAGTGTGTTTAACATGTTGGATGCTTTCTAACTTATAGTAATCTCAATGTATGCACCATGTAAATGTGACTGCATTCAAAACTTATACATTGCCACCATGCACATCCACACAAAAGCTGTTTTTTTTTTTTCAGGAGTATGTACTATTTGTGTGTTATTCATTTATCAATGGTGTAGATTCTTTAAAAATAGAACTCATATAACAGTAGTACTTTAGTGTGCACTTAAATTTTACATTTACCATGAAATACACTTTGTGCTGCCCAAAAAACTGATTTATCATTTGCTTGGCAAAACCATGTTATGTCACAGCCTAGCATCTTTGCAATAACTCTCATTAATTGTCTCCATATGATTTTTCATGTAAAGAGTACAGCAAAATAGTTTCTCAATGAGAAAATGAAAAAATACTATTTTAAATTGAAAAAATAATTAATCATGTTAATTTTATTACTTGTAATAAATTTAAATAGCTCAGAATATCATTATGGCTAGTTTTCTCACACACTTAATGGCTTATTTATTTTTTTAATGTTTGTTTTGAAGCTGGACATAAAGGGTGCATTTATGAAAACAAATTAATCCAATTCAGTGAATGCCAACATGCCGGTGTTATATTTTTTGTTTTCACAGCGCAATAGGTGTGTACTCGCATGTCATGCAAAAGGTAATGTCCCTGTAGTCCCCTTGACATCTGCATCGCTAGTATAAGGAGTTACTCTGTACCTCACCACAGGCACCAGCGGGTTCTACGTTGGTTTTACAGATTCTCATGCAAGACACCTGCCGCACATCCAGGTCGTGCAAACAGATAAGGGCTCACCTTTGTGACCTGAACTGAGTTGGCAAGGGATCTCGGAGCTGGTGGCCGCTACAGTTGTAGTGTCCAGTCTGGCTCCCATCAACCCACCCCCATTGCATGGGTAAAAATGTCTATTAAAGCTCATATGGAACACGGGTGCAGTCGGCTAGCTGAACATACTACTAAATGACAACCCCCAGTTAAAATGTGTCTAGGGGCAATAATTGTTGTACTGCTGAGATTCAGCATTTCAATAAGAGATTTGCTTGCAGTCTAAATGAGCAGCATCTCTCGTGGGCAGTACCTCGTGGAACAGTACTGTCTCCATACATCGCTTGCTGTTCCTCAACATTGTCATAGCCATGATGAGGTACATCGCGACAGTCTGCCAACTTCAGTGTGCTGGTTTGACAAAAATGTCCGGCTGATAATGTCCTATGGCACACAGAGTCCCAAATGTCCGGCTCTCCTCCGAACTTCGTCCTAATATTATGGCGGCCTTAAAATATCCTTACGGGGCTCAGTTCTATTAAAAATATGCCGGCTCCGTATAATAAAACAAATGAGACAAGGTCTCAGCAATGTTACTTGCGGACCTGTTTCTGTGACTGTGCCTCACCGCCGACCGTATCCCCCGCGCCGCTACGCGAGGCGCAGATGGGGGCTAAACTAAATGGCTGGGACTCACGAGCAGCAGCTACCGCATCTCCTGCAACTTCCTCCAATTAATTTGCTCATGAGTCCCAGGCACCTACTTTAGCACCCCATCCGTGCTGTGCATAGCGGCGTGGGGGATACGCTTGGCGGTGAGTTTAATCGCGTTGTGCGCATGCCGAAAAGTGTGAGGATACAGGTCGGCAGGTCTGACATCTACCGCTGGTGAATCCTCAATCGGATGAACAGTATTGCTAATCTGCGTGGGAGCGTGTGGTCTACCCGCCATATCGCTTTCATTGTCTGTAATGTCTCGAAATTGTCAATAGTCGCTATTATCGTCTGCAGAAATGCTGGAAATTGTCAATGGTCGCTTTTATCGTCTGCTACTATCGTCTTCAATGTTGCATCTCTTGAAATTGTCAAGTAATCCTAGTTTTGCCGCGATTTGTTCCTTGGCAGAAAGTCCGAATTTTACATATGCCTGAGCCCCGTAAGGATATTTTATGGCCGCCATAATATTAGGACAAAGTTCGGAGGAGAGCCAAAAGTCCTACTATTTGGCAGAAAGGTTCACATGCCAGTTACCATTGTCCTCATTCATCAGAGTGTGGTACCTAAAAGATGCATGCTTTTGCCATACCATCTTGCTAATTTTCCGTATAAAACAACGTTCAAGGCATCTAACCTGGCGAAGAAAAATGGAGCTATTTGTAATTTGTGAACTACAAACCTGCATGATAAGCTATGGATCCAATATTCCAGCCAGGGTGTCTTCTCATTGGATAATTCTGAGGACAGGTGAGAAAGTACAAACATGATAATTCTGAGGACAGGTGAGAAAGTACAAACATGATAATTCTGAGGACATGTTAGAAAGTACAAACCTGATAATTCTGAGGACAGGTGAGAAAGTACAAACAAGTACAAAACACTGACTGTCTTAAAAGAATTTGCTCAGAAAATGGGACTAGTTATCAATCAATATAAGACAGAATACATCATAATAAGTAGACAGGGAAGGAATATAAACGGCCACATACAAGTCAATAATATGAAAATCAAATGAACAGAAACATATAAGTACTTGGGTGCAAACTTCAACTGCTCCAACTTGCTGAGAGAAGAAATACAATCTAGAATACAATCTGGAAATAAAGTATCCGCTAAAGTCAAAGTGTCTGATCGCAACACCAAGATCAAAATATGTAAAACATTAATTAGACTAGTCGTGTTTTAGGACTCTGAAACTTGGAGCACAACAAAAAGAGATGAAGCCTTATTACAGGTTTTTGAAAACAGTCTTACGACGAAACTTTGGACCCATCAAAGATGCAAATAGCGGTGAATGGAGAGTGAGAAGCAACAACGAAATTCATAATCTGTTTAAATTACCACTGATCACTGGCATCATGAGAGCTAATAGACTGAAATGGTTGGTGCATACTGAAAGAATGTCAGATGACAGAGAAGTAAAAATTGTATACACCAAGGACCAAGACGATGATGGAGGGATAATATCCAGACAGACTTGCAAACACTTGGTGTCACCAACTGGAAAGAAAAGGCCAACCAGAGAGATGAATGGAGGCGGGTGATATCTGCAGCAATGAACCTCAAGGGCTTGGAATGATGAAGGCCAACCAGAGAGATGAATGGAGGCGGGTTATATCTGCAGCAATGAACCTCAAGGGCTCGGAATGCTGAAGGCCAACCAGAGAGATGAATAGAGGCGGGTGATATCTGCAGCAATGAACCTCAAGGGCTCGGAATGCTGAAGGCCAACCAGTGAGATGGATGGAGGCGGGTGATATCTGCAGCAATGAACCTCAAGGTCTCGGAATGCTGAAGGCCAACCAGAGAGATGGATGGAGGCGGGTGATATCTGCAGCAATGAACCTCAAGGGCTCGGAATGCTGAAGGCCAACCAGAGAGATGGATGGAGGCGGGTGATATCTGCAGCAATGAACCTCAAGGGCTCGGAATGCTGAAGGCCAACCAGAGAGATGGATGGAGGCGGGTGATATCTGCAGCAATGAACCTCAAGGGCTCGGAATGCTGAAGGCCAACCAGAGAGATGGATGGAGGCGGGTGATATCTGCAGCAATGAACCTCAAGGGCTCGGAATGCTGAAGAAGAAGAAGAAGAATAGCCCTTCATGTAATATAGCTATGTACTATTTAATCTATTAAACAGAACTTTCTGTAATATTACTACGTACCATTTAACCTTATTCAATAGCACTTTCTGTAATATCACTACGTACCATTTAACCTTATTCAATAGCACATTCTGTAATATAGCTATATATATTCTGTTACTGTTTTCATTTTGTTAAACCCTGGATTACACTGATGGTTATGTCCACATGAGAAGATTTTTCTATATTCATCAGACTGAGGAGAGTTGGTGTCTCCATGGTCAGATTTAAAAGCAAAGCAAAAGATGTTGATCACATATAAATCTATGCACTAACAGAACTGATCAAGTCATACAAGTCTATGCACTAACAGAACTGATCAACTCATTTGAGAAAGAATTTCTGACAATGACACAATGACCATTTAATGATACATTAATACACACATGAAATTATTAATGACATTTCTGGTGCTGGTGTATAATTATGTCTATAGTCTTGATAAGTGTCAATTATACTAGCAGTCTTATTTAATATTAGTCCTTTGTAGTATTAGTATTCATTATTAACACTAATACTACAAACATAAATAATACTAATATGGCAAAGGTAATTATCACTAACAAATGTAATAAGCCCTAATGGGCTCTGTAAATGACAATACACTCCTGCCGTACCTGTTTTGCAAGCCCAATTGCTACATAACATTTATCACCAGGATCAACAATTTCAAATTCAAAATAATGATTGGTTGTGTCTAGCGGGTATTTGGCTTGGGCCAGCCCAACATCGTGTATCGTTCTGCCTCTCCCTGTATATTCCAGAATCTAGAAAAACATGGAAAACAGGACTGCAATGAAATGACAAGACCACACAAAAATTACAGGAAGAATTCAAAACAGGTTTTTTTAAAAGGAAATATAAATACTGAGAAATTATTTATAACATTTATAATTAAATTTAATGTAACAATTGTTATTAATAACATTTTACTATACAACTGGGAGATATCGACTAAAGCCAGTGATGCCCCAGTCAATACTGCCACTGGAGATATAACAATGTATTTGTCATATTAAGATGATTACTATTTATAGTATTTACTAGCTGTACCCGGCCACGCGTTGCTGTGGCGTAATTTGAGATAGTCTTTGATCCCACCCCCCATCCCCACAACTAAATCCACCTAGTACCCTCTCCCTCATCAAAGGTTTTTAGAAAAGAAAGACAATTGAAATCGCACCTGTCTAATGAAGTTAATGACGCAGTCAATGTCTGCGCCGACGTCGAGATAGTCCTTGATTGCCCCCCCCCCCCCCCCCCCCATCGAAGGTTGTTTGAAAAAAAAAAAAGAAAATAGAAATCGTGTTTAATATGGTTATTGTGGCAAATATAGAGATAGTCTTGTTTGCTGTACTACGACCTACTCTATGTATTAGTATTAGAGAAGGCGTTGGCTGCACGTAACTCGCCGGCGAATGGTAAATACGGCGCATGCGCAATTACTAACGTGGCTATAATTAGAAATCACTAAAGTTTTAAATATTAGTTGCGTATATTTTGGCATAAATTGTGGTTACCTATCTCTAACAGTGACAGGCTGAATTTCAAACCACGACGGTTCAATATCCGGTATCACAACAAACATATCCTGAAAATTTCAGCTAAATCGGTTCAGTAGTTTCCGAGTCTATAGAGACCAAACAAACACACAAACATTGATTTTTATATATATAGATAGATAGTCTGGTTTTCCAACTTTAGAACACGCACCATATAATTGTGTCTTTATATTAGTGGTCGTTTAAATTGTGTTATTAGCACGGTAACAAAAGTGGTTATTTGGTTATCACATGCTAAAGCTGTTTGTATTTTTATAGGAGACGGAAGTAAAGCTACAACTGTACTTGTAAAGTAAATCGTAAAAAATAGAAAAGCGGAGGTAGCGTTAGTAAAATATAAACAAATTAGGTAATGAGAACTTGAAAATCACGTGTAAAGCTCTTTAAGTTCTCTTAAATTTAAGTCATTACCCCCCTCCCCTCCCCTCTTCCACCGACTACTGCTCTCTCCCTCTTCGAAGGGTTTGAAAATCACTAACTGGCGATATTTTGTTGTTGCTGTAACTGACATTGACATCCCTGTCCATCTGGACTAAAATAAGGAGCAGGATTTGTAAAAGGTAGTGAATAGGGCTACAAAAAAAACAACACTTGAAAAGCAAATGAACACAGGAAAAAAACACCATAATTAGGAAATGAACGCCATTGTAAACAGCACAGCTTAAAATTCCAACACAGATGAAATAACTAAATCTAAATGAAAATAAATGAAAATCTATAAACTTTCAGCGTAACCATGCAATCGGAAAGTTTAACAATGCAATCATAAGTATGTGAAATGGTCAAATTTAATTATCAAATGGTTTACCCATTTACTTGTTTTTTTTTGTTTTTTTTTAATATTAAGGCAACATGGCTAGTGCTGTCACCACGACAGAGCAGATGAGGATATTATTTTAGTCCGGGGTAAAAAAAAAATTTAACTACTGCGGATTCGAACCCAGGTCTACCGCGCTTGAACCCAGTGTTCTAACCATTCGACCAAGCAGCCACTTAATCGGAACAACGAAAAGAGAACACAACTATTAGACATATGTGTCCCTACCACTGTGTCGCGATTAAAACCCAATTCAAAACCGCAGGCAATTGTTTTCTCGTAGACAGATACTCCAGATATATTAATGAAATAGAAATCGCACGTGTCTAACACGGTTAATGAAGTTAATGTCGCAGTCACTGTCTGCGCCGACGTCGAGATAGTCCTCGATTGCCCCCCTCCTCCCCCCCCCCCCCCCAATCGAAGGTTGTTTGAAAAAAAAAAACAGAAAATAGAAATCGTGTTTAATATGGTTATTGTGGCAAATATAGAGATAGTCTTGTTTGCTGTACCACGACCTACTCTATGTATTAGTATTAGAGAAGGCGTTGGCTGCACGTAACTCGCCGGCGAATGGTAAATACGGCGCATGCGCAATTACTAACGTGGCTATAATTAGAAATCACTAAAGTTATAAATATTAGTTGCGTATATTTTGGCATAAATTGTGGTCACCTATCTCTAACAGTGACAGGTTGAATTTCAAACCATGACGGTTCAAAATCCGGTATCACAACAAACATATCCTGAAAATTTCAGCTAAATCAGTTCAGTAGTTTCCGAGTCTATAGAGACCAAACAAACACACAAACATTGATTTTTATATATATAGATGAAGTCAGCTACTCAACTATAAAAGAAGCCAACATGGTGTAGTGGCTGGACACTCACTAACAGTTCTGAAGGTTATGGGTTCAGGTCCTCATGGAGATGGATTATTTTTCCCAAATGACCTAGGCTGCCAGGTCGACCTAGCCTTAAACAGGGACCAGGTGAGGTCCTGGGAAGTAAAGAGGGCTGGTTTGATGCTGACCACATCACCCACCGAGTGCTGACTGATCTATAAAACATACATATACCTGTATGCCCAATACGCCTGAAGGCATAAAAAAGGGTCCTTTACTTATTCAGCTAAAAACCAGTGAAGAAAATTTCAAACAATATTCAAGAAGAAATAAAAAAAAAGGTAATAGAATGAAAATCTAGGTAATGTGCATAAAGGTTATTAAAACAAAAAATATTCTAATTATGTACAAATGAATAAACATGAGCATAAACTAACCGTTCCATTGAGTCGAATATCATCAAGTCTGACCCAATCCTCCTCGCCACAATCCACAACCATCTGTGTGATGTCATCGGGGTTCCAGACCGCATCAAGGCGCAGAACCACTTCTTCCCCTTCTGACTGCATTCCTACTGCAGGGAATAACTGATAAGGCCTCAGTGTGAGTTCAAAACTCTTTACCTACACGGAAGATAAAGTCAGACTCATGTGTTATTGGCTTCTCACAATGGTGGACATGTGTAGAAGCATTGTCTATTTACTGTAGTCAGTTGCACAAGTCCTGCTCAACTTCAACAAATCTGTGTAACCCAGCAACCGTTGTGTGTCAGTTGTTGAAAATTGGCACTCAAACTGTTAATAATCATGTTCTTGTAGAATTTTTTTTTATGCAAACAAACATATAGTTTTCATTTTGCCTTATTTGCGGTATATGAAAAAACAAACAGCCATTCAAGGCAAACAATAAGCATGCTTACAGAGTACCTTAAGTAACCTGAGTGAGGGGAACATTTCAAAATATAAAACTACATGCATTTCATAGTTGTTTTACTCTCAGGTGGTCTTGTACAGCATTAGTCTCACATTAGCTGTGAATTTTTCATTGAGTGGGGGATAGGCTATCAGAATAATCACCATACATTAGCTACACATGTGAACTGATTTCCAAACAATCTATACGTGTGTCAATTACTGCATATTCTATTTTTTAAGTTACACAAATTATTAGTTGTTAGTGATCCAGCAGCACACAAGCTTTCGCCCTTCGGCCCAATGCCATGCAGTGGAGTTTGCATGTTTTCACAAGCTGTTCTTTTCCTCCGTATAAGGTGTTCTACTTGTCTGGTCTCAGAGGGAGTAGCATTCTTCTTGTCTCGCTAAGTTTTGGACACTCAAAGAAATGACAGTCAACAGTTTCATAAGGGTAGTTACATTGCTGGCACTCTGGGGAGTGTTGTGGCTGTATTCTGTTTAGATGTCCACTGAGTGGGGTATGTTGTGTTCTGAGTCTGAAGATGGTGGCCTGGTCCCTTCTTGTTAGAAGGTTTATGCAGTCGAAAGGGTCAGGGCTAGCCATATGTCTATAAACCTTTCTTCCAGTGTCTCCCACGGCCCATCTGTTCAGCCAAGTCTCTTAGTTTATAGCTCTTATAAGTGTTTGCTGTCTGTAGGGTTGTCAATGTGGGTGGTTGTTCTTGTGTTGCTCTTTTTTTTTTGACAGCCTGTCAGCTCTGTTGTTACCTGGTGTACCGGAGTGGCCTGGAATCCACTGCATCACTATTCTGATGTTGTATGAGGTAATGAGCTGATCAGCATCCAGAATTATCTTAGCTATGTCAGTTCCGCAGCGTTCACTGAACTCCAGAACTTGAAGGGCAAACACTGAATCTGTGTAGATGACAATATTTTGGGCCTTTGAGGGGTAAACATCCATAACAGTCTTTAGAAGGTATACTGCTGTTTCCAGTGCAACTATTTCGGCTTCATAATTTGAGAATTCCCTGATGCATCAAAAATCTCTTCAACAGATCCATCAGGATAACCTATGTAGATTCCGTAACCTGCTTTAATGGTAGCTTTGAATGCAGATCCATCAGTATAAACCTGTATCCATACTTCGGGGTAAAAATCAATGGTCTTAAGCGATAAGGTCATAAGGGTGATTTGGTCGGACTGTTTGGTTTCCTCGCCTACCAATTTAATTCGGACTTCTGGAGCTTTAAAGTGAGCATGTGGTGGTAGGTGCATTGCAACATCCTGAGTTCTTTGACGTCTTTCTGGGAGGTAGTAACTGTCCTATATTTCATGTACAGAGTGTAAAACCGATTTGTGCTTTATTCTTTATTTGTTTTCCCAGTTTTCTAAAAGGTGTGTGTTAGGATGGTTACGATTCATTCTAACACATTGTCATAGCCCTGTGGGACAGAGTATAGACAATACGTCGTGTAACTACATGTTGGTGTTTGACGGACCAAAAATGTGCACCAGCGCTCAGCCAGTTGATTTGATGATACGGGGAAACCCGAGATTCGTGAACACTGGTGCAACGTACACGTTTGAACCGGAGCTGAACGGGGAGAGGGGAGAAAAAGGGTGTGCGAGGATGAGGACATTTTGAGAGACGTGTTGGTATTTATTTTGTTAGGAATTGACAGATAGGTTGTGTAGTGTTAACGCTGTCGTCGTATGTGTTGGTTAGCTGTTGTTATTTTTAGTGTGCTAATAGTATGTTAAGACAGTTGTGTTGGGGTTGTACCATGTTTAGGTAGGGGTTCTTGTCCCTGGATTTTTGTGGGTTATCTATCTGCGTCTTGTGCTGTCGTTGACATTGTCCGCTAATACTTGAACCACTCACCCTGCGTGTGCCACTGAGTCTCGCATGGCAAAGATCGTAGCCTAGTTAGCGCTGCACTACAGGAGGTGGAATCGTGTCCTTGGGTATATCCATGGGAATGGCCCGGGGTGGATAGGTAAATATAACTGCTGCCACTGCCCGGGGATTTTGGATGAGGGACTGTCCAAAACTGTGGAGGTTGTTTTTAGGTTATATTGTTCTTTGGCCATTAAAGATGATGTGTGTGCTTTATTTGTGTATGTGTTGAGTGTGTTTTGGTATAGTTTGTCTGTCACAGGGCCGTACAGCGAGCCCTAGTTTAATAATATAGATATCAGGTCCTTGACAGATAAAATGGAGGCTACGTCCGTTAGGATTTGAACCAGAGTGATACATAATGGCAGTTGTTCTGTAGATTTTAACCCAACCTTAGTAGTTGATTGAGATAGAATGTTACTAGAATATTATATGTGTTGTCTGACTAGGGTTAACCATTGACAAAGTATAGATTTTTAACAGTTTTTTGTGGTAATTTCGTTTATTGTCATAGTGCAGACATATTTCGGCTCGTCTCTTAATTCATGATATGGCTACTGAGTTGGTTTCATTGCGTTGCTGGGATGATTCCCTTAATTAGTGGCATCGTATGCGCAATCAACTCCTAAAAACTTGATAGTGATATCGAGTCTTGTCTGATTTATTGTTAGCACTAGATTGTGATTGTTTTGTGAATAACGTCTAATGTTGGCATCTTGACTGTGTGTATTTAGTGGTAACGACTGAATGTGTTATAAATAAGGTGCGTCTTTACGGATAGGCGACGATAGGGCGACATACACGGTAAACAAGTATTTTTTTTGGAGTGCATCAATGCGTGATATATGTGATGTTCTGCTGTGTGTCTGATTGAGAGTCCAAGAAATCCTCAGCAAGGCCCTTCGCCCTCGATCATCATTGTTGCTTCATCGTGTTTTTCATCGGGCAGCCATATTCCCAGGACTGGAGAAAAGATAAGTTGAATTGTGGTTTTGATTGTGGCGTTGGTTTCTGGTTTTCTCCTTGTCCTAGGTGTTCCATTGGGTCGGTCTGGCGCCGTTCATCGTTCTTCTATCATTCTTGTCTATCCTGTTCATTACATATAAGTATTGTTTTGAGTGCACACATCATCCATCCTCATTTGAAATTGTTAAGGAGTAGCTTTCGGATTCCTATTCTCAGTTTCAGCTGTTACTATCCAAAGTGTTTTAACAGTTGCTATTATACTGCTTTTATTATCTGATCTGTAATATTATCCAGTCTTATTTTTTTTTTAAATTGTGACTGCATTTCTGTTGTTATTACGGTAAAGCGTTGTTCTTCAATATATTTTTTTTCTAACCGTGCGTGTATTTATTTATTGATCAGCAAGGCAACTGTTTGATTGTAATTGTTGTACTACTACAAGATGTCTAGTCTCGCCGACTTTATAGAAATGGCCAGACAACATGAGCTGACGGGTGAAAAAGCGCTAGAATGGGCTGACAAGAAGTATACAGAGTTAAGAGAAAAAGAGGAGCGTGACAGAGAAAGACAAGATCGTGCAGACGAAAGGAAACTGAAGAAACTCGAACTAGAAGCGCAAGATAAAGCCAAAATGATCGAGGCTAGTACAATAGAAAAACAGTTAGCGGCCCAGGCTGCGTTAAAAGAGCAGGAACTAAAGGCCCAGGCTGCGTTAAAAGAGCAGGAACTAAAGGCCCAGGCTACGTTAAAAGAGCAAGAAGTCAGTTTGAAACAACAAGAACTAGCAGTACGAGAGAAAGAGATAACTTCTCAGGCGGCTTTGAAACAGCAAGAGTTGGCAGCTTTGGCTGAACGAGACAAAGCACAGTTATTGATGAGGGACAAAGAGATAATCAGTAACACTGAGATACAGAAAGAGAGATTAACAATGGAACTAAAGGCAAAAGAGCTAGAAGCTAATAGGGATGCCGAGGTACAGATGAGAAAAGCGGAGTTAAAGGCAGCTGAGCCTTCCTTTAAAAAGTATCAGGGTCTGGTTAAATTTTTCAACCAAGGTGAATCCATTTCGGCATGGACACAAAATTTTGAATACATGGCAAAACACTTTGAAGTACCACTTACAGAATGGTCACTAGTCTACAGGAAACATCTAGGGGGTGAACCATTGAAACTGTTAGAAACAATTCCTGTCGAGAAGTTAGATGATTATGAGTTTGTGAAGGGTAGAATTTTACAGCATTTTGCACTAGATGAGGAATCTCATAGGAACACTTTTAAAAATCTGTCTCCAAAACCTGAACAAACCTTTATCGACTACATGTCGGAAGTTGAGACTACCTTTGATAAGTGGATAACAGCTGCTAGAATTGGTAAATCTTTTGAGTTATTAAAAGATCTACTAATTAGAGATAAAGTTTTATCTAGTGTACCCAGTAACATGATGACATTCTTAATTGAACAAAAGCCATCCACAGTCAAAGAAATGGAAACATCAGGAGCAGCCTATTTCAATGCTCATAGAAACATTTTCATTTTTGGTAATGGCTCAGATATCAATTATGGGGCTGCTGTGCAACCTGTTTACAGAAAAAAATCGTACCACACCGAGGCTACAAGAAGAACATTCAAAGACCATAGGAGTAACAGATCCTTTAAGGATAAGGGCCTGATGATCACATGCCCGTATTGTAAAACGGAGCATGGTAAAAGGCAGTGGTGTGAGGAGAATCCAGGATTTGAACAGCATGTCCAGAACTGGCTTAAGAGGAGAGCAGAAAGAAAAAGCTCATATGGCCTACCTCGCGAATGCCGCATCTGCCATGCAATTAATCACTTGCAGGAAAAA